GGGGCACCCGCTGGGCCCCGCTTCGGGGCCCGAAGGGCCTCACGCAGCCCCGGCCTGGCGGCCCCCAGGCAGCCGGCCTGCAGCTGAACCCCGGGCGCTCGCGTTGAAGGAGCTCCCAAAGGTCTGAAACCTCGTTTCTACCAAAAGGCCACAGGGCTGCCCATCTGGCTACAGATCAGCATTTCACGACCTTACGGGGTGCTGGGCAGGATCTTTTTTCCCCAAAACTTTTAAAACTTTTACAGTTCAGTAACACCGCTGGAAACCAGCGGCCTGCCCCGCGTGCGGTACCTCCTGCGGCGCAACGCAGGAGCACCCCGTTCCCTCAGACCCAAGGAAACGCTCTTCTGGAATTCGCTAGCCACGGGAGGGGGAAGAAGGAACGCGCCACGGCTGTCTCCACAGCTCCCTGTCTAAAGCACAAGGGGAAACGCAGAGTCCAAAGCACAAACGCCCATCCTTTAATCTGCTCGTTCATCCTACCAACGCGCGCAGCTGTTTCACCGCTTAATTGTCCCCACGGGTTTTTCTCCCGTGCGTACTTCCACAACGAGGTCTGTCGCTCGTTACAAGCGCCCGTAAGGAATGTTTTCACTTATCGGAGAAACGAGCACATCTAGGAACGTCGCGTCGTGATTTGTCGCTGGTTTCGTGCATCGGCAGCGCTTCCCGGCGAGGGCAGAGCAGCGTGCCTCAGGGGCAGGCTTAAAGCGAGGCAAATACAGGCAACCCTTGGAAATATGGAAACGCGTTTGGCGGCGGCGCTCCCGTATCCTCCGTACCCCGCTCGGTCCGCCCGCGGCAGCTGGGGATCGTGCCTTCGTGCCTGGGGAAGCGAGGCCCTGCCATCCCACGGACGCCGTCCCTTCCCAGCAGCGCTTCGACGTCGTTTTCACCTTTGCGGAGAGCGGCGCGGGGCGAATCGGGCTCTGCTCCTCGGGCAGCGTCCGCCGAGGCCGGGGCTCGGTCCCCTCGGCTCAGGCCGCCTCCAGCTGCTCCTGGG